GTAGGCGATAGTGCTATCATCCGGGGTTTTGGGGACCTGCTTATGGTCCAACCTTCGACGATGGGTTATATGTTCAATCTAGTTGGGAGTGTGAGATTGAACATACAATAATTCAATAACTCTTTCTTCTTGGTATAATCTTATATTCTGTAACAATACTTAAACAATAATAATATATATACAATACTGACCCACAGGCTAGGTAACTTAATAAGGAACAGCATCTAAGAAATAACTTATCAGAGACCTGCCCTTTTGTATGTCCCTTGCCTGCCTGTAGTTAAGTACCTATGATCTACAATCTTTCCTCTTTAAATATACTAGAGGTTACTTGGTAACAATAAACAATGAATAGTAATTATATATATTTACACTTAATAATATTTCATAGTTGTTATGGGGTAGTATTTAAGTGACATCCATTCATTCATTTACTAAGTTGACTATTGGGCCTTGATTATGTAATGTTTATAGATGGATTACCTCATTACTACTAATTGTCTATTATCTCTGTCATAGCTGACTATTGTTCACTCATGTTAGATAATCCATCTTGGGTGCCCATTTATGGTGTAAGTCTATTACCTTATACTGAGTGAATGACTGTGTTAAATACTACCTGATCATATATGGACGCCCCCTATTAAAGTGTCGACCCGACACTCAGATGTTGCACTTAAGCTCTTTCCCCGACACCATTCTGGTAGGCCTATATTGAAGGAGCTAAGTCTAACTCAATATTTTCCATGATATTCGAATTCCCAAACACAAATCAGAATTCACTACTGATCAATTTCAGTCGATATTGATGTTATCTTGCTGTTAAACTATAGGATCCTAATATCCAATATTTAAGACATAATTAACATTTTATAATAAGTACACTATGGTGTTGGGTATCATTTTATAATGAACACATAAAAACATATCCTACAACACAATGTGGAAGTAGTTAGAAAGGCTGATCCACAAATTACAAAATAATAATTTAAACTAAAAGTGTAGAATGCATTAAGCAGGCATAAACGATTACCATTCAATTTGAACTGTTCCAATATTTCTGGTTCCAAAAGAATAGAGCCATAAGCAAAAAAAAAAAAAGGTACCATGCTTCATAATGCGTATACATGTAATTACTATCTCTATTCAGTTCAGTCCTACTCTGATCTTGATTTGCATGTCAGATAATAAAGGATTATTCTTCCAAATTCTGCTACTATTCGATCATTAGTCACTTGTTATGATCTGTTAAAATCTGCTTTGAAAATATAGAATGACACCTTATATATACATGGTTTTATAATATAGTAAAGTATGAACACTCATCTTGTGAATACATATACAATCGGAAAAAAAAAAATACAAGAATATTTATCATTTAACAGCAGAAAAATAGGTGTGATGTATATTACCATAATAGCCTCAATATCAGACAAATATAGCTTTCTCAATTTTGGATAAATGTATCTTCTGAACACTCTTTTTTGGATGTGCTAGTTAGATCCCTACTTTGTTTGAAGGAATGAGATCAATGTTACTTACAAAAAATAATTTTGTTATAGTACTTATATAGCAATGATCGTCACCGATGATATATAAGCATTTCTGTATGTTGAATCATTTGGTTAGCTAGGCCATTTGACTCTATATACCTCTATGTACGCCAATATATGATATGTGTTAAATAAAAATAACAAAAAAACTCAGATCTCTTTCCTTATTGCAAATTTTAATCGCCTTTTACGATTCACAATTTAGCTTGCGGATGATGAATTCTTGGGCCCACATCATCAGAGGTAGCTATATTTTTGAGGACGTTTCCTAGCACTATCATGGTTAGTGTTATCTGATACATAAATGGGACACAAATCCATGTGTGAATTTTGAGAAAACCTATAGTTCTGATATGATGAATAGCCACTATGATAATTGTAATCACACCTACCTTCTGCTAGCCTTGATTTTTATTCATTATAATCTATTCTATTGTTTGGGCCTTGTTCATACTCCATATAATGTCTTGAAACTTGTTCATATTCATGGTTGCCTTGATTCGACAGTGCATAATAGTTATTCACGACCTCCTCTAGTTTTGATTGTTCGTTTTGATGAAGTTCTAATTTTTCACTGTTTTCTTCCCTTGCATAATAATTACATATACTTTCTGTAAATTTTGCACATTTTTCGACTTCCATTACTGTATGAGACTTGTCTTTATACGCAACCCATTTTTGTATTTCTGTTTGTAGTCCATTTCTCATAATTTTTGCTGTCCAATCCTCTGGAAAATATTTGGATCTCATTAAAAGAAGTCTTTTCATTTCTGTAAGGTAATCATCCACAGATTCTCCTGGTTGTTGTTTTCTCTGTGTAATTAGCCTAAACACTTCTTTACCATCATCCACTTCTGTACAGTATTGTTCTATAAAAGCACTTTTCACGGATTTATACTCACTTCTTGTTTCTTCTGGCAGACATTTTAACCATACAGCGGCATTGTCTTTCATAGCTAATCTAAGGCCGGCTACTTTATATTTGTCCTCTTCCCAGTTTTGAAGAACACAATAACTTGTAAATATGTAGCATGGTTGTTACAACTCTCCATCATTCTTTGTTTAGTCGAAAAGAAGAAAAATCAGTAAAATATCAGCTTTCTTTTCTAGGGTGTAGACACAAAGAAGAACACTCGCTTGGCTTGTGAGATTCCTTTAATCAATTGGCACTCCCCATATATCATCCGGGGTTTTGGACCTGCTTATGGTCCAACCTTCGACGATGGGTTATATGTTTAATCTAGTTGGGGGTGTGAGATTGAACATACAATAATTCAATAACTCTTTCTTCTTGGTATAATCTTATATTCTGTAACAATACTTAAACAATAATAATATATATACAATACTGACCCACAGGCTAGGTAACTTAATAAGGAACAGCATCTAAGAAATAACTTATCAGAGACCTGCCCTTTTGTATGTCCCTTGCCTGCCTGTAGTTAAGTACCTATGATCTACAATCTTTCCTCTTTAAATATACTAGAGGTTACTTGGTAACAATAAACAATGAATAGTAATTATATATATTTACACTTAATAATATTTCATAGTTGTTAAGGGGTAGCATTTAAGTGACATCCATTCATTCATTTACTAAGTTGACTATTGGGCCTTGATTATGTAATGTTTATAGATGGATTATCTCATTACTACTAATTGTCTATTATCTCTGTCATAGCTGACTATTGTTCACTCACGTTAGATAATCCATCTTGGGTGCCCATTTATGGTGTAAGTCTATTACCTTATACTGAGTGAATGGCTGTGTTAAATACTACCTGGTCATAGTGCCGCTGCCCGGGCAAAATTTCCCTCATAGCACACTGTATGGCGTATGCCGTCTTCATTAGCCCAGTATAGGAGCAGAACAGCAGGACGTTAAACCCCATTTCATTTCATTTCATACTCACCATGGAAAAAGCCCTCTACAGCCAATTTTAATTTTTTGATATTTTTGATGCCTAATGGGTGTACTTTCCCTAAATAATGTTTAATACCCGTGTACTTTTTTTTATATATATATACCCTGCCGGCAACTCACCGGGGATGTTACCCAATATCCTAACTGCCCAGAAACTACCCAATGCCCTAACTGTTCAGAAATTACCCAATGCCCTAACTGTTCAGAAACTACCTAATACTGTAACTGTTCAGAAACTAAAAAATCTGTAAATAGGCGAACAGCCTTCCCAGATTTCTCTCAGCTACTAGTTTTGTTCTTATTCGAACTCTTCAGGCTTAAATGAGGATGTGCGGTGGCCCTCTATATATATAGTGTCGGTGGGCACTGGAGCACATGTGATGTCACAGATGGACCGGAGGGCTTAACGAGGGCTTAAAAATAACTATTAGGTTATGGGCGTGTATGCACTAATTTTTTATCAGCTTTCGCCGTAGGGGTACCACGGCTAAATTTATTGGGAACTTGTCCTTGTTTTTCATATTCGGCCTTGAGTTAGGCTAAGAATTATGCTACTATTTCGCATACTTTGAAAAGTGGCTCTAGGAAAATCTTTCTTGAATTCAACAAGGAGCTCACGAGGTTGTTTTTGCGTTTCTCGATTGAAATGTTGTAAAAATACCCAGTCTTCTTTACTGATGTTTGATTCTGCCAAATCATCGCGATTCGATGTGCCAAAAACTGGCCAGGCCTCTAGTAGGAATAGTAGTGAACGTCCCTATTGTGACGTTACGGGATACCCTAACTGTTCAGAAACTACCCAATTTTCTGTTCAGAAATTAAAAATGCTTACTACTACCTTTTTATAAGCCTGAAAGATTTACAAATATGACATCAACTTTCTAAGACTACCAGTATAAAGACTATTTTTTTACACTCTGATGATTTAACTAATGATTAAAATATTAAAACTCCTTCATATGCTCAGATAATTTAACTAATTATTAAAATACCCAAATTATTAAACACATTCACTAAACTTAAAACTCCTTCTTATGCTCAGATAATTTAACTAATTATTAAAATACAAAAATTATTAAACACATTCATTAAACTTAGTAACTGATTTTAACCTCTTATCAATAAAAACAGATTTTCAAACAATATGTAAATACTATGTAGCATTGATTTAATTTGATTTTTATTATATTCTTGATTATATTCATACATGTAATTCTGTATTTATGGAAAGAACTTACATAGTAACAATGATCCTATTCTGTTTTGAATAAAATATTGTTTAAACTAAACTGTGATATGTACCATATTTAAACACGATAAATGTCTTTAATTTACCTCAATATATAGTGTTGAATTGGGCTTATCTCATGTTATTACAATTACATGGTTAAATTTTTGCTTCGAAAGACTAAGCAGAACACAAAATTGTTTATATCTCAACACTGGCCCTTAAAAGTTTCAACAAAGACAGAATGAAATAGATCTAATAATTTTAATGTATGAATATAGAAATGGTAACATACCTGTTCGTACTTATAGTAGATAGACATCGTGTAGTAGTTACACCTGCAATATAAATTATACTTTTACCACTGGGCTAAAAAATAACTTCAGGCCTTTTTCCATTAGGTTAATTTCTACCAAGTAGCCTCCGTATCTAAAACTCAAATTCAAACTATGGCACCAGTGATTTTTCCTAACACTATACCTTATTTAGCCATATTGTACAAACAGATTTGTTAGAGCCCTTAATATGCCCAAACAAACTTTAAACTGCATCCTTTAACAAGCCCCAAATGTGTTAACTTCCCAAAATGTGTTCGAAATTACCATTTGTAATTCGAATTAATCCATTGAAAAGAAATGAATATAGTGTGTAAAGTGTGCACAAGGAAAGTTGGACGGATTGATGTATACAGGTGACAAAAATATACATCCACATTACTTGCTGGTTGGCATATATATATAAACAGCCTATGTTTATTCTTTCTTGAACACCCAATACCACTTTTAATACAGAACCCAACATGGCCAAGAAGGTATTAAAGGAATAAGAGCACTGGTTAAGAGTATGTGAATTTTCAAAATTATTATATTTTAATTATTATATTAAAAGGAGTACAAAATGTTAATGAAAAAATTAAAGTTATGAGTTATCAAAATATGCATATCAAGATGTTTGGCCTTAATGGAACATAGCAACATTATAAGTATATCCATGCAACACATCTATCAATTCTGCTTATAAGCTATTGAGTTGGTTAGGGGAAAAAAGTAGAAACTATTTCAATTGAACAAATCTTAAAAAGCATCAACAAACCTTACAAATTTGGTTGAAGTCCATCAAACAGTTAGAAGAAGTCAGTGAAGACATAAACTGTTTGGAGCGATGGGCTAATAATCAACCATTCAGCGATCAACAAGCCAACAGTGAGGGATTTGCTCTGCCTCAATTCAAAATAAATAGATGACACATTAATTAATTGCACATTTATCTTTTTGTAAAGCATTGAGCAATCGTACTGCTTATCTATACTTAGACTAAGCAGAAAATTCTCATAATTGAGGTTTTGATGTAGTGAAACTGTACACCTTATGAACATCTCCACCAAGTTTGAACATTCTAACTCAATTGAAATCACTTATCATCTCATCACTGAATTTATTCAAGGTATTGATGTAATGAAACTATAGTATACTCTGAGTTTGACCACCCTCACTCAATTAGAATCCAAGTTATTGGACTGCAAAGTCTGGACCTATTAAATTGCTTATAACTCTTACTTAACCCTAGCAGTAAATGTTCATACACTTAACTATACACTTAATTTTCCTTACTCTCATTTTTATACGCCCACATAGAAATGTGGATGAAAATTGCCGTCACTCCCGTCCGTCCATCATCCACAATTTCTTGTGAACGCTCTAACGCCAAAAGTTATCATCCAATTGTTTTAAAATTGATATATGTTGTTTACATTAGTGAGATGAAGAAGCCTATTTAATTTCAAATAATTTCAGTTTATAATGTCTAGAGTTATGTCCCTTGTTTCACTTTGTTGAACCTTGTGAACGTTCTAATGCCAAAAGTTAACATCCTATCTTTGTGAAATTTATATGCAATATTTAAATTAGAGAAACAAAAAAGCCTATTGAATTTCAGCAATTTCCGTTTATTACTTCTAGAGTTATGGCCCTTGTTTCACTTTGTTTTACCTTGTGAACTCTCTAACCCCAAAAGCTATCATCCTATCTTTCTGAAACTTATATGCATGATTTAAATTAGTGAAACGATGAAGCCTATTTAATTTCAATAATTTCCGTTTATAACGTCTAGAGTTATGGCCCTTGTTTCACTTTATTGAACCTTGAGAATGGTCTAACGCCAAAAGTTATCATTCGATCTTTCTGAAATTTATATGCATTATTTAAATAAGTGAAACGAAGAAGCTTATTTCAGCAATTTCCGTTTATTACATCTAGAGTTATGGCCCTTGTTTCACTTTATTGAACTTTGTGAATGCTCTAACATCAAAAGTTATTTGCCGATCTGTATGAAATTTACATGCGTCATTTACATTAGTAAAGAGAAAAATCCTATTGAATTTCAGCCATTTCCATTCATTACTTCTAGAGTTATTGCCCTTGTTTCACTTTGTTCAACCTTGTTAATGCTCGACTGATGAAAGTTATCATCTGATATGTATGAAATTTATATGCATCATTTAAATTTGTAAAACGAAAAAGACTGTCAAATTTCTACAATTTCTTTAGATTACTTCCAGAGTTGAGGCCCTTGTTTCAATTTGTAGAACCTTGTGAACCCTCAAACGGCAAAAATTATAATCTGATCTGTATGGAACTGTCTTGTAAAGGCCCCCAATTACCTACAAAGGAATAAATATGCGACAACCCTTGTCGACCGCGCGGAAGATTTAGCCGCTGTGGGCGTATGTGTCGTTGCCTGGCAACTTATCTTTAATACAGTTATTGTGTCCAAAGCTCAGATTAAGCAGAAAATGCTCATCATTGAACTCATCAAGACAGTCACCTTTTAATCACTCAAAAAGTGTGAAGTAAAGGCAGGTGTGAAGGAGTGGGTAGAGGTAGGGGACGAAAAAGGGAATAAGATAAGTGATAATAAGAGTTTCTACTACCAAATAAGGTCAATAGTTGTTGCTGTAAGTCTACGTTTATATGAAGTTATAAAGTAATTAGTGACATAAAGAGTATAGTCTATATCTTGGCTAAATAAGAATATTTTAATCTGACTGGAAATGGCATGGTATAAACACTGTTAAAGTAAGGACATGATATTATATCTATAAAATGTTCTTATTAGTCCAGTGGCTAAAGGTGGGGGGGGGCGTCACCGAGCTGTGAATTTGCGGGAAATGAGTTCACGTTGATTTAAATGATGATTTTCTTAGAGCTTGGTACAAACATTACTTTTTAATTCTTTTGCACAGAAACAGAAACCACTTGGTTCAAAATTAACCTGAAAAGTGTTTTCTCATTTGCTTTTTCGTTCAGTATTAATTTTGTCAATCAAAACATTGAATTATAATAGTACTTTTCAAGAGATCTGAAAATGTAGGCCTACATAACCAGCGGCTGCCAGGCAGGATACGCCCACATTTACGAGAGATGGATAGAGAACAAGCTAAACGAAGGTGATTTTTCCTACAATCAAGGGCCATAATTCAGGAAATTACATTTCGATATGCGCAAATATCAGAAGGAACCAAGATCTTTTGGTTATAAACTTAAATTTCAAGTTTCAACAAAATCGGATAAAAATTGTGACCTCTATAGGGTCCACAACCTTGATACACCATATTTTTACACTATTTGAAAAAGAAGGGTGGCCATTTTATCTGTCAGTTTTGAGTCGAATTTTAAGAAATTCGTACTTCCGGTTTGATCATTGTCAGGATAGATTTTAAAGTGGGATGGGAACTTAAATATCTGTACCAGAAGAAGTTTCAGAAATATCCTCTGAGCAGTTAAAAAAAAAAAAAAAAAAGAAAATTAGAAGAGCATTTTCAGTATATTTAAAGGGACAATAACACTCTTGCTGGCTTGACAGCTCCAGAAAATAAATAATAGCCTTATTCTAAGTACTAGATGTTTAAGTGTCCTACCTGTTGTGTAAATTATCTATTAAATCCTATTTTACTTGTCCAGAGGGTTCGAAAATATTTTTAAATCCAAGTGACATTTGAAAAGGTTTATGTTAGGCTTTTCAAATCATTTAGTTGAATTTTTCCAATTTTTTTAATTAGTTGTGTTAAGATGAAATTTGTATCACCAATTAATTAAAATATTGTAAAATAGTACAATTTGTTGACCAGAATAAAGATTGGGACATATTATTCAGTTACAACAAGAGTGGTATTGAGACTTTAATGATTTTTTGACTTTTTTCAAAGATTGAGGTCCCTTTTCTGACCCTTTATATCATACTGAGGCTTTTTAAATTTGGATTCACTAGGGTACCCTAGAACACCAATAGAACTCTGAGTAACAGAAGTTTAAGAAAAGAAATAAGAGTAGTTTTCAAGATAAAAGCATCTGATTGGGCTCCAAAAAGGAAAATACTGGATTTTCAGCATCCCATAATATATTGCCTAACAAGCGAATTTGTATTATTTGGATGACATAAGTTCGTCCATTATTCGGGCTATCCAATAACACTTTAGTTGTTTTCATTCAATGAAATCTGGCATAGTAACCACTATTTTTCGCAAGAGCGCATTTTTTAAAACTTTTTTTTTTCTCAAAATAACGGATATTTTTTCGACTACTTCCATTGAGCTTTTTCAAAAAAAAAAGAAGAAAGATAGGTTGCCAGGCAACGAAACATACACCCACAGCAGCTAAATCGTTCGGGCAGTCAACAAGTGTTGTCGCATATTTTTTACTTTTTTTGGTAATGAAATATTTATAATACACTAAAATCTGATTAAGAGTAACAGGGTTCCCGCGGCTTCGTCAAACATTTTTTCAAGGATATTTAAGGATAAATATACGTCAAATTCAAGGATTTTCAAGGACATTTCTTAGCCTAAAGTTACAATTTTTCATCTTAAAAATAACCAAAACATTACCAACTATCGTTTTAATCTCATATTTAAAAGGAATTGAAGACATTTGAAACAAAATTAAGGATCTCAACTGAAATTCAAGGATACTTTCCTATTTCCGCGAAATTCAAGGATATTCAAGACCTTGAAAATGAAATTTTAAATTTAAGGATATTCAAGGATTTTCAAGGACCGCGGGAACCCTGAGTAACAACTCATGAAGTAATTATCAATCTGAAGTCAATCGGATGATAACTTTAGCCTCTAGAGCGCCACAAGATTTTTCAAAGTGATCAAGGGCCATAACTTTGGCAGTAATTATCGGAAATCGTTGAAAATCAATAGGATTCTTTGTCTCATGACCTCAAATTTGAAGTCAATCGGATATTTACTTTAGCCTCAAGAGCATCCACAAGATTTTTTGAAGGGATCAAGGGCAGTAATTATCGGAAATTGTTGAAAATCAATACGCTTCTTCGT